AAGGGTAGGCACCTAACAGCGGTGAAGCAGGCCGGGTTAGGCGGCGTACTGCGGCAGAATAGTGGGTCCAACGGAGCCGGATCTCGGTAACTGCTCCGGCGAAGCCGGAGATATCAATCCGGGCTCTAGCCCGTGACACTAAACCCCAATGCCTTCAAAGCAGAGATACTGAGGCCATGACGGATCAAAGACTTCAGTAGATTAACGTTGAAAGGCAGTCTTTATCCAATGTGGGAAAGATTTTGCGCTGCAGAGAACGTGACCCATGCATAGGTATGCCTAATCGGGTGTCGAGAAACGCGGATTTTCGTTATTTTCATATATAGACGGACCAAAAACTGCCATAAAGTAGCCAGTCCGTCCGGAAAACATTTGAAGCAAATGCATGCGTTAAGTCGGACAGGTCCACGCTTGATGGGCACGCCTGGAGGCACAGCACTCAACCCCCTGGATGGCGGGGGAAACCGGAGAACATTCTTGCACCGAGCCGCAACCTCCAGTACAGTGCCTTTAAGGATGGACTAAGGAGCCCCAGTATCCTATTTGGGCAAGTATGGGATAAGCGCGCCGGATGCCCACGTGCCATCAGCCGAGAGCCGCGAGCCGCTCTCCTACGCCACATGCGTTCGTGGACTAACGTGTTCAGCCCGTTTCACAGTGAATCAAATCTCGCAACAGCTTTTCACACGTTTCTGTCTTTTCCCATTTTCTAACTGAACTTTGCAACATACAAAGACATCGACTCAACCCTTGAGGTCCATGACTTCTGCCATCTTCGTTTAGTGGCAGCAAGTGACAACACACTGGAAGTCGGCCTGTGAAGTAGCATGAGAGTCAGCGTGGAACTTTGAAGGGGGGTTTTAGTTGGACATACGCCAGAAGGGCCACGAGTGATGTCGCCAGGGGCGCTCTTGTAGGTGGGGTCGATGGCCTGGCAGACCTTGAGCTTGGCGGGGGGGTCGATGTTGAGGCAGAAGTTGCAGTTGGGGTCGGAGTAGGTGCAGAAACCCTCAGACTTGGTGGATGTTAGTATTTCGTACTTGTTTGGCTAGGCAGCCAAGAGCTTGTTGCTCTCAAGGTGGATTGGTACGCACCTTGCAGTTGAAGCCCTGGGGAACGGCAGCGACAGCCATGATGAGGGAGGCAGCAGCGGCGGTGAAAGTGGCGGCACGCATTTTGAAGATTGGAAAGTGAGTTCTAAACGAAAGTGTTCGTTGGAAAAGTTATGAAAACTGTTGCAAAGTGAAGGTAATGAATGAATGAATGTGGATAGGATGAGGAGTGAATAGCTACCTAAAGTCTGGGGAACACGAGATGATTTATATTCGGAAGAGCAACCATCACATATGGATAAAGACTATACCGATCTAACACGATTCAGACCTCAACTGTAGATAGTTGTGGTCTTAATAGCGCAATGATTAAGCGTTTTGAAATTTAATATGTCGTTGACTCGTGAAATTGTTGTCATGCTCAGCTTAGTCGTCTGCCCATGTGGCCTGCCGGATACCGATAAGGCAATCAAAGAGAACGGTTCTTGCTGAACCCACGTGTTGAAGAGTGTTGGGTAAAGTTTATTTCTGACTTTGAGTCATTTCCATTGAAAAAGAGCGGTGCTAGTCAGTTCAAAATGAGTTGAAGTCCTCATAGGGGAACTGAGGCTCGTGTAACAAGCATGTAGCCGTCAGCATTCATTAAAATGCGATCTTGGGGATGACACTTTTGGTGAATGATCTTCATTAAAGTGGAGAAAGCACACTGACCCTAATCCTGACCTCAACTACCGTTCTAGACCAGGCGTCTGCAATATGTCCCCCACACGTGGATGAAAGTTAACAAAAGGCGATCCCGGGGATGAAGCTAAGCCTACTAAGTCTGTCAGAATAGGAAAGCGGCTCGGATGAGATCCCGATCGTGTTGGCGCTGTATTATTCGGAATCCGTGGATCCCGCGACAAAATCTCTACCAAGAGTGTTGAAAACTCAGGGATACCTATGACTGGTCGCGCATGGGCTTCCTAGGGCTGGCATTTCGGCGCTGGCCATCAATTCGTCTTCTTCACTCACGAGGACATAAGCCTGACCGGTTCTAGGGAGCTGCGATCAAGTATCAATTGCCACTGTCAATTATCAATTGAATAGCATTCAATTTACAGTATCTTCAACTATGGATGTGAACTACTCCTTGAACTTCACCTGAACTCTGACGGAGCTCATGAAATAAGGTTGGGAGACAACAGAGTGCTCAAAGCTCGGCAAGCCCCCTGTCAGGCCCACATTGCATAACCGAGTCAAGCATCTCGACTATGCATCGGCTATTGTTTCCTAACCCAAATATGGCTTATTTGCATCTGTTTCATGTAGTGTAGCACATCTCGATGTATCTGGCCAATTGGCCACTTAT